TTCTTGCGTGCGTCTTTGGGTAAACCGAAGACGAAATCCATTGAGATGGATTCCCAGCACTCTGCCGGAACCGGTAGAGGCTGTAAAGGTGCACGCAGTGAAGAACTTGACTTCACTGGGTTGGCAGACTTCGCATGCGCGAACATACTTTCGCACAAACTGATACTGGCGGGGCCAGTAAAAGTATCGACTCACCGTGAGATCTGTCTACTCGCGGCCACGATGTCCACCTATAGGAGCATTGTGATACTCGAACATGACACGCAAACGCAGATCAGCATCATCTGAAATGACAACATGTGGTGTGTCACCAGAAACGGCTGTATAATACAGTAAACCGTTACGAGTAGTGTATCGATCTGATGCAGATCGATACGCAGACGATAATCGTTTCAACGATTCTCGAGATGGCTGGGAGAGATTTGTCTACAACCTCACAATCTCACCATCTTGGGCATACGCTCGCCTCACATCATCATGTAACGTTGAAGATGGTATTGAGGACGTCATAACCGCAACAGTGGCTGTCTCATTGTTGGGTTTCACGACTGGTTCAAAGTCGGGTCGACGTGAGAGTGCATCAGCGACGACATTCAGTCGTCCTGGTTTGTACTCTACCTAAAGTTGTATTCTGCAAAGAATGACAACCACCGCGCCATTCGTTGTGAAAGGTGCGGGCTGTTTACTGCCGTGCGTATCGACGCATGGTCTGTGTAAACAATGAAGGGTCTATATACTAATAGATAGACTCTGAACTTCGCGAGTGCATACTTAATGGCAAGGAGTTCCTTGTCATGCACTGGATAGTTCCGCTCAGCTGGTTGCAGCTGACGCGACTGATAGCAGACGACGCGTTCAACGCCTTCAAGATCGTACTGCGTTAATGCACAGCCGATTGCGAAATCGCTGGCATCACAGACCACATGAAATGGCCTGTCCTGGTCGGCAATTGCTAGGACTGGGGATTGTATCAAGCTCTGCTTGATACCATCAAAGGAGCGCTGACATTCAGCGTTCCATAACCACCTCTCATCCTTTTTCAACAAACGAGAGAGGTGTACAGTCATCTCGGCGTAATTGCGAGAATACTTGTGCAAATACGCCGCTAGCCCAAGGAATTTTCGAAGACCTTTGACATCAACTGGCACAGGCCATTCGGTGACCGCCTTGATCTTTTCGGGATCAGAACGTACACCGTTCTTACCAACGATGCACACAAGAAGTGGTATTTCGCTTGCTGCAAATACACATTTCTTGAGATTTGCATACAATTGATGCTTTCGCATGATTGTAAGAACCTGTCGGACGTGGTACCTGTGAACCTCAACGTCCGACTTTCCATCCATATCCCGACTATGGATGAATATGTCATCGAAATAACTCGGTGTGAATTCTCGTACTGGTATCAACAGATGTGATACACATCTGTTGAACGTGGCAGGGGCATTACTAAGCCCTTGTGGCATTACTAGCCATTCCCAGAGCATGCCGCTAGGCGTGCTCACTGCGGTATAGGGTATGTCCCGTTCTCGCATAAGGATTTGATAGAAGCCATCCATCAAATCCATGGACGAAAAGATGGTACTCTTTGACATACCATCAATGATTACGTCCTTCCTCGGTATCGGCGTCTGAGCCGGTACCGTTGCAGCATTCAACTTGTTAAATGCATGCACAATCCGCCACCCTCCTGTTGCTTTTCGCACACAGAAGGTCGGAGAGCTATGTGGGGAAGTGAATTCCCTCACATGGCCCGCAGCTAAACGATCGGCAAAGAACTTGTCGATCACAAGTACTTGTTCACGAGGCAGTGGCCACTGCTTCATGACACAGTACTTCGAGCCTGGTTTAAGCTCAACCTCGTGTCGAGTACCTTTATCCTTCGGTAACTCGCACGGAACAGTTTCAGGGAATACATCCTTGAATTCAACCAAATCTTGATAGAGAGGATTTGTCTTGAGCGATTCCCACGATTGGGAGTCATATCGCTCAATTCGTGTCTTTTCATCTAGGACACTCTCGTCCATAGATGAACTACTGAGAACTCTCTCGTTCTCAGTAAACAGTGTTGCTGACCTTATGTCGGTTACACACTCGTCGTCAGCGACGAGTACGCAGATCTGCTTGACTTTGCCACTACGCAGATCACGCAAGAACCTTTTATGTTCGAGCGTTGGCAACTAAGTGATCTCCGAATTCAACTTCGGAGGCGCAATCAGATCAAGTGTATAAGCGCCTACACTTGATCCGTCACTGACTAGGACATTTAATGTCTCTGTCATTTCCTGGGGACTTATTCCCTCAGGCCTCGAAGGACTTATTCCTTCGGCTTCCCAGGGACTTATTCCCGCGGGTTTCGGGGAACTTATTTCCGCCGTATTTGTAATATCGGGACTTATTCCCTTAACTTCCTCTAGCTGGGGTTGCGCAACCACAGCGAGATCCTCTACGAACGACTCTCCAGTCAATCTAGGATTATCGTTTTGCTTAACCTGAGCAATCGATTGTTTCTCTTCTAGATGTTCCCCGCTAGGGATACATCTTTGTCCCACTCCACTCGACTTATTCGAGTGGTGGACCTTCGGCGCAGCCTGTGTTTCCTCACAGCCGCCGGAACTTTGCTCCGAAGTGTAGCCGTTTGTTATACTAAGGTTTCGTGCAGTCGTAATAACGACCGTACCACAAGTGAGGCCATCGCACTCACTCGTAGTACATCCACACGCTTGTGGACGCTCCAAAACGTTCATCAGATGGCCATCTGATGAACAAGCGGCAGGCATTGTTACTGTTTGATGTTGCCAGTTTACCCGTGGTTCGTACCTTCTGAGCCACGGTATTCCAAGGATGACATCAAATTTGTCATCCAAATCCAATACGATAAAGTCATCGTCATATTGGGTATCTTCTAGCGTACAGTGGATCTTCACTATCCGCTTCATGACGGTTATGGATGCGCCTGTCTCAAGACGTACTGTCATCCTCGTAGGAGGTGTGTCACATTCACTGAACTTAAAGTGACCATCTTCTAGCGATTGGCGCCGCATAAAATTGTTGGAAGCCCCACAATCGACTAGAGCTCGAAGGGACAACTCATTCGTCACTTCGAGTTTCAAGGTAATGAGTGAGATCTCATTACCTAGAGCAGCAACGCACAATGTTTGTGTGTTGGGAGCAACCTTCGTCAAGAGGCCTACAAATTCTCTTGACGTTGCTGGACCAGTAGGGTGCTCCGCACCTACTGATCCTGTCCGTTTTTTGACGGTCCATCCCGTTGTTGTGTCTTTGCACCAACAGCGGACCCTCGTCCCTGCCCCTTTCTCATGGGTGGACGGTCACTACGCCCAGTGTTGCGAGACACTGGACGAGGGGCACTACACTCGTAAGCGTAGTGTCCTGTCTTTTGACATCTGTTGCATCTCTGCAACTTCTTGTAGTCTGTAGAGCGAGCCTTCTCGCTATCTACATAACAGAGTTCCATCGGCTCTGGACTTCCGCTGTCATATCGTCTCGGTGGACGATATGATGTCGAGCTGGCGCGAGCCTGTCTCAGGCTGAAGTCTTCCTGTTCCGCAATGGAAATGGCTTGTTCTAGTGAATCTAGTTCAAGTCGGAACAGGTGAGTCTTGACGGGACCATCCGCAAGACCCTGCATGAACACCGAAACCAACGTGTGTTCATCAACCGGGTTGGAACTTATACAACTCGTGAGATGTCGTATATGTTGCGCGTAAGCGTGCACATCACGCTTACCTTTGCTTGAGCTTCAAGAGTTCAGTTCGAGCTCTGATCTCAGCTCTAGGCGGTTCAAACGTTTGTCTGAGCCGCGACTTGAAGACTTCTAACGACTCAAACGCATATGGGTCGTGCAACTTGAGCCTCAGTGCCCAAGTCTTGGCGCGTCCTGCCAGATTTGATTGGGCAAATGCAACTTGCATATCCCCATCGTCGATGCGACGCGCCCTTATGGCGTCATCCAATTCGACGAACCATCTCAAGAGGGAGTCCTCTTCAACTCTCCTATGCTTGGAGATGTCAATCTTCAAGGTCTCGGGTCGACGCGAGTGCATCGACCCACCAGCAGCAGCCTGCTGCTGTCTCAAAAGCTCAAACTGTTGAGCACCTTGTTCTCTCAACAACTCCGATTGTTGAGAACCTTGTTGGTGAAGCAAGGCTACTTTCTCGCGTTCTCCGTCAAGTTCATTTTGAATGAACGTGGCGATAGTAGCATGTTGGGCATCTCTATTAAGAGCCTCTAGCATGACGCTAACAGCATGGATGCCCATGGTTGAACCCATCCGTTCAGCCGCATCCAATTCGACATCGCTCAAATGGGAGTAGCCGTCACGCGAAGCGTGAAAGCTTTGGTCATCTTCATCATCCAACATATTCATGTTGGATGTGAACGCGGTCCTTGGACGGACTACGAAGTGCTACCAGGTGTAACGGGGCACCCTAAACTTGTACTGATGACAATACTTGCTACTTATTCTGACAACAGAATAAGGCGGTGCCTCGGAACTTCACGTACACTGTTACGTGCAGAGGAAGACGGTAAGGAGAAGCGAGTACTTGGATAAAGTAAAAAGTAGAACTGTATTATAATAGTTAATGTCTGTTAATAAACCACTGTTTATCCTCATCTAACTATGTCTAAATACAAATGTGTATATCAACTATCTGCTCACCACTCATTGCGTGCGTCTGTCGTGGCGCGTCTTCGTTGGTTGATATAATGGCCTATATCAACCAATTAGGAACTACTCGTAAGTGCTGCAGAATATTTGTCCTTATTACAATATTCTGAGAATATAACTCTTATAGTTGTATTCTATGATCAATTTCTTTTAAATTGTTATGTAACGGTTCACCTCGTTGTAAGCCTTTCTTTTGAGTATAAATTAATTTCAGCAATCGTGGAAAACGCCAAGGATGTATCTCTGATCGAGGTGAAAGAGAAGCTGCTTAAGGAATACGAGCGACTCGAAAAGAAGGACACCACCATGGAGAAGCGTCTCGAGATAACGGGAATGCTAAATGGTTCAAAGGGGGCCGAGGACACGGTCAAAATGGGATTTCTTCAAGAAATAATGGTGGTGGATACAAGGGCAAGTGCTTTGGGTGTGGCCAAGTTGGTCATCTGAAGCGGGATTGTTCTGTACAGAAAGGCGACAGTGGGAATGATGCTGTTTTTGCTGTGAGCGAGAAACTTCTCGACGGTTGGCTGAATGATAGTGGAGCTACATCGCATATGAATCCGCATCGTTTCGACCTATTCAGATACGAGATCCTGAACGATGGCATTGATGTAACGATTTCCGATGTCAAGGAGTAACGCGTTCATGTAAAAGGAACAGTGAGGCTGAATGGTGTGAACAATCGACGAATCAGGATGATAGATGTATCGCACATTCCAGGACTTGACTGGCGTCTATTATCAGTTGGAAGACTCGCTTAACACGGTCTTAGTATCAGTTTTGAGCGTTTATCGTGCATCATTTAGGTCGACAGAAGTGCAATTGCTGTAGGAAAGAAGATAGAAAAAGCGTTCACGCTGGACTGTCAGCAGGAGGAAGCAAGATTTGTGCAGTACTCGGGAGCAGACAGTAAATAGGAGCTATGGCACGCTCGCTTGGAACACCCAAGTAAGGACGCACTGACCAAGACATAGCGTTACACTGAAGGAATTTCTGCGGTATAGCAAGGTATCGAGACGTTATGCGGAGGCTGTATAAAGAAAACAAACCGTAGCCTCTTTTCCATCAAGAACACTGTCAAAAACATTAATAGTATTGGAACCGGTCCATACCGATGTGATGGGACCAATGCGAACAATTTTAAAAGGTGATGCCAAGTATGTGCTTATAATCGTGGACGATTACTCGCGGTACGTTGTGGTGTATTTCATGAAGAACAAGAGTGAAGTTGCCGGTAAGATGAAAGAGTATTAAGCGCTGTATGAAAATCAGTGGGGAAAGCGCATGAAGTGTCTAAGGTTAGAGAATGGAACGGAGTTTGAGAACAACACCGTGGCTAAGATGTGCATGCGAAAGGGATCATGCATCAGCGATCTGTCCCGTACAGCCCTCAACAAAATGGAGTGGCTGAGCGTATGAATCGCACAATCATGGAGAAGGCTCGTAGCATGCTACACTACAAGTGTGTTAGTATGGAATGGTGGGCAGAGGCTGTGAGCACAGCAGTATACTTAATCAACCGCTCCACTAACACAGCATGCTCAAACTCGACTCCAAATCAGTTGGCCTACGATAAAAAGCCTCGTCTGGACCATTTGTGCGTTTTTGGGTCGCAGGGGTACGCCCACACTAAGATGTGAAGCGGACAAAGCTCGATTCCAATGGCTTTCGCTGTATGTTGCTAGGGTATTCTGAAAATGTTAAAGACATTGTCTCTATGGCTTGGACAAGCTAAAGATCAAGACATCACGTTCTGTCAAGCTGGACGAGCGTGAGGTGGCCGGTATTTACGACACGCAGTTGCCGCAGCTTAAAACAATCGTCCGTGTGACCACTGAACATGATGATGAAAATCTCTCACCTGTGGATATAGTGCAATTTAGGACCAGCCCAGAAAGTCGATGAAGGACCTAATGTGGATGTGGAGATGGATGAGGTGGATGAGATGGAACATGAGCAGATGGTAAATTATCTTCTACTCCGGTAATCAGGACCTACACCAGTTGGGCATGAACTGACCGAATATTCTCGTCCGCAGCCAGTTTTCGAGGAAGACCGATTGGTATTTCACCCTGAGGCCACATTCTCAAGGCGATCCAGGGAGCCATCATTGCTACTCGAGGACGAGAAATATGATGACGAAGCACATCATCCAAATGGATTGATGGACCACCATCACCAAAAAAGCGTGCCAGATCGACGATGAAGGGTTGCTGGCTGAGGCAGTATTAGCATATGCTGCAAAATTTGACGGCATTCCAGACACACCAAACACGTATGCAGAAGCCATTGCTAGTGGTGAAGCAGATGAATGGAGCAAGGCTATTGATGCAGAGCTTCATTCTCAAACCCAAAAATTACACGTGGAACCTCGTTCCTCAAAAACGACCATCCGTTCGATTGGGTGCTGTTGGGTTTTCGCTAAGAAGCGGGATGAGAGTGGTCAAGTTATTAGATACAAGGATAGACTGATGGCTCATAGGTTTAAGCAGAAGTTTGGGGTCGACTTCTTCGAAACATACTCGCCGGTGGCCAACATGAACTCAATTCGAGTTGTGCTTGCTGTGTGTGCGGCCCATGCCTAAATGATGGAGCAGCTGGACGCTGATACAGCGTTTCTGAACAGTACGTTGGTGGAAACCGTCTACATGGAAGCTCCATGTGGTGCGAAGAATGTTAAGGTTATGATATGCAAGCTAAAAAAAAGCTATCTATGGGCTGAAACAGGCAGCAAGGGCTTGGAACAAGACAATCTGTCATGTGTTCCTGCTTAACGACTTCAAAAGATGCAGTGCCGATCAATGCGTTTACGTAAAGCGTGCTCGAGATGGCTTCGTGTATGTGCGCCTACATATAGACGACATGATCATTGCGGCAAATACAAGCGTTGAGATTCAAGAAGTCAAGAAGGCGCTCAAAAACGCATTTAGGATGAAGGAGCTGGGTGCAGCAAAGTTCAATCTGGGTATGGAGATCAATCACGACATAAACGCCGGTGCGCTTATGATAAGGCAAACTAAGTACAAAGACGACGTGGTAGAACATTTTAACTAGCAGAACGCGAAGATGGTTGAAAACCCATGCACTTCGAACCTAAAGTTGTCAAAATTGTTGTCGCCAACTACGGAAGAGGGACGTGCTGAAATGAGGTCAAAACCCTATCGCTCGTTGATCGGATGCCTGATGTATATCACGACACGCATCCGACCAGACATCGCGTATGTGGTTACGCAATTGTCGCATTTTCCTCAAAAAAAACTGGAGATCAACACTGGAAAGCAGCCCTTCGTGTGCTTCAATACCTCAAGTCGACTCGCGAACATCGTATTGTGTACCAAGGAGGTTCTGGTAGCGTTACTGCCAAGGCATACACGGATGCTGATTGGGGCAGCAACACTGATGACCGACGTTCAGTGTCAGGTGTCATGGTGATGACTGATAAAGCTCCAGTGGTATTCAAGTCTAAATACCAAAGAACAGTTGCTCTCAGCTCAGCCGAAGCTGTATATATGGCGCTAAGCCTTTCACTTAAGAAGTACTTTGGGTGCGGTCGATGCTTAAGGACATGAGCCTAGAGCAAAAAGGAGGAACACTTGTATGGGAAGAAAATCAAGGTGCCATTGCATTGGCATGTAATTCTGGGTATTACGCACGAACGAAGCACGTCGACATACGTCACCACTTTATTCGCGAGAACGTGGAATACAGATCGATTAAGGTGGATTACATTGAAATGAAGCATCAATTAGCGTACACGCTGACCAATGGACTCGGTACGAAGACTCTTAAGTTCCTGCATGAAGCAACTGGCATTTAAGACAGATTCACCGTGCCAAAGCGGTGAATGGGAGTGTTATAGTAGCACCGCTCTTGCACGGTTATTTCAAAGGGTGTTTCATGGTGTTGGTTACGGAAGAAGGTTATGGATCGCGGTTACATGATGAGATTACGAGATGTCGTTACGTCAAGGCTTAGACTTAGCTAAGGGTAGTGAGTTAAGGACCTTGAGAATGTTTACTTCGGAATTTACATTCAACACCACAACCTTCATCTCAACAATCATTCGCTGTACGAATGAACTCAGTACGGGGTCGGTTGTGGTAAATTCCTGAACAAAATTGGGACGTCAAATGCGGACTATTTAGATGAGGTCCAACCAATATAGAACGCAATATAGATCTTGGTGAAAATAGGGACCATGCGACAGGGCGGTTCGGAGAATAACAGAAACTGATGACTCCGGCGCTCCCACATCTCTTTCAAGATTAAACTTTATCAACCGTACAAAAGATTTCTTGGAGGTCGGACAGATTGATGATGGCAAGAAAAGTTTAAGGAAGACAATCTGGGTCAGGTCAAGGCAGCTACGATCGATTCTGATGGAGTGATCGGAGACGTGATAAGACAGCTACGGATGATTTATATGGAACGATCTGAGACGGAACAAGTAGGTCAGGTTCGAGTCCAAGGAGAACGATACTAGCTAGCATTAAGATGAAATTTGATGCCGATCTAGACGAGAGAGGTATATCATGTCCGCGATGTGTCGATCTGAATAATGTACAAAGGAAGATAAGCGTCGATCTGGGTATCAGATCGGCTTTGATGTCCTACAACGATAACATTAAACGATAAGAATATCGGGTGGTTATGAACAAACTCCAGTGGCTGTTTAGAAGGATGTCATTAAAATTCAGATTAAGGAGCTAACAGCTAGCGTCCAAGGCGACGTCACGAAGTCATTCCTGATATTTGGATACATTCTCGATGTTTATACATAACCATTAATTGAATGCATTCTCACAATTTAATTAAATTCAAATCATTGGATGTATTCGCACTATTTGTTTATATTCTTATTATTTGGATACGTTCTCGATGTTTTAACATATGATCGATATTGAATGATATTGACTAAAGGCGAAATGAGTGTAATGATTTGGAGGAAAACCACGGGAGTTCGACACATGTTCAAGAGGGCGACCTGGCTGACGTTGATATAAGTTTGAAGATTATTCTGCAGGGTAGAAGAGTTTTAGTTACCGTTTGTTCAATTTTTACTAGTTTGTGATGAACAGGCTTGAAATTTACTGTTTTTGCAAACGGCAAGCGACCCCCTACTTCTGATGAGATCTTCTTAACTTCCCGACGGCTGAAGGCGCACGTGCTACAAAGCACAAAACCGATCTTGAAACTTCTTGTCAAGATCTCGGAGATCTATCCCGGGTAGTTTGGCCCGAATTGCGCAAGTTCTTAAGAAATCACCACTGCGACTGGACGCAGCAAACTAAGAAGAGGACTGGTGATCGAGATCGACCAGGCTATCTTGCACAGACCGATCTGACGATCTTGAAGTGGATTTTAGATACGAGCAACTACGCAAGGAAGCTAGTACTGAGATCAAGTAAAAACAAGTGTCGGCGACAAGACCAAAGGATTAAATAGTCAGATCGGAACAATCTCAAGTGAGATCAACACGCGAACAATCCGACAGTTGTGTGACGATTTCCACATTGTGATCAACATCGATCAAAATTTTTAAGCGAGATCAACATCTCCTTAAGCCGTACCGAAGATCTCAAGCCACTCCAAACAACGGGCACACAATGTGATCTTTATTCTTTTTAAGCAGGCATAGATAGGAGTACCATCTCCGTAAGTCGGCGTGTCTGGACAAGCGGAAGATCAAGACTCACGTCAATTATTTTTGAAAAACCAAATTCGCTACACCACGACAAGCGGATCGTGCAAGAAGAGGACGAATTTGGTCCAGTTGATGCACCGCTATCTGATAGGCCGGAGACATATCGTGAAGCCATCTCCGGAACGGAAGGAACGCCGTAATGTGTGTATCAATCATACATAGTGACGACGCAGTGGACTCTGCGAGTAATGAACCCACCCACCCAAGACTCCATGATGAGGTATACATTAAATATAGTCGTCTTCAGACACTTCTTAGCCTGCATCTTAGTGCTTTTAACAATGCGTATTATCATCATTTGCTTCAACGGGTGTAGGGGCGAATTAGCGTCCCACAAGATTTTATTCGGCGCCTCTGAGATCGTACTTTTGCATTCAGGAATTATTTTAGGCAAGGTATCGTCAAGTTCACGAAGATTGAAGGCACAGTTATTGTAGAAGAGGCTTAGGAGGAAGCAAAATCATGCAGCAAGGTATTGCCGGTAACTTCAAGCTATGCTTTGGCAACAACGTGATCTTCATGTCGGTTTGAATGATTTAAAAATTTTACGACCTCTTTAGGCAATCAATAATCAAAAGAATTCGCCTACTACGAATTTTACAGTCGCGAGCTCACTAAAATAAATGGATATCTAGGACTCGTCGTTTAGGCAACCTAATCACAATTACAACCACAGTTAAGTGCCTCGAATACCCTGGCAGAAATGTCGAACATTGTCAAAAATAAAGTTTTGACAATATTTACATATTATATGATGACGATTTTCTTTTTGTTCTCTTAATTTATTGAATTACACAAGAAGAGATGCAAAAATATCCCGATGTTATCTACAATAAGAAACTTAAAGATCCCCCCCCCCCCAAGGGGAACCCCCCCCCCCTAAAAAAAATTAATTTTTTTGGTTGGAAATATTTTTTTGGGGCAAAATTAAGTGTGAGTAACACCTACAATCTATTACAAAACCCGCACGATCTACTAATTTAACGACTTAACAGCATCTTTCGGTCGCTAAAGCCTTTACTTGTAGCGACGCCTTTAGGGTATCGATAAAAACATGCCTTGGAGTCACTAGCTACAATTTCAGCCTGTGTTTCTAAGAAATTATCATGTGAAAGCATCGAAACCTCGCGTTACAATACATTAGCTCGCTACTTTTCCCCTCAACAGACTGGACTAGATGGCCAAAATTTGGCATGTAAAGAACCAACTACACTGTCGGGTATGTAAAAATAAAGAAGGTCACGTGCAGCTTTAAAGGACATTAAACGTACAATAATATAAGTATCAAAACAGAATAAATAGGTAAGAAACAAAAAAAGGATAATAATATTAGGAAGAAGACAAAGTCAGTGGTGACCGAGATGGCTGCGTTTTACGTAAATATCACGCACAATTTTTTCCGACTTTTCCGCATAAATAAAGACTTTGCAAGGCAAAGAGGAGGAGCAGAGAACTTTATAAATGTTACGCGATATTAAAAAAAAAATTTCTGCTTGTCAGGATTTTTAATAAGCAAAGCGGGGTAACCGTAAAATTTCTCATTTACGTGCAAAAATTATATTCGTAAGCACATTCTTCATTACATAGTATTAAAATTAATATGCGCAACCTTTACGTGTGCAGAGACGGAGAGTCGCCGTCGCGGCCACCCGCTTGCAACAAGATTAGATTGCGTCGTTTCTCAATGTAATTTGACATTTTAACGGAAGATGGCGAATACAAAATTTATCGTTTATTGGTAGCAGAAAAGCAATGCGATAAAGAGGGAGCTGAGCATGTGGACGCACATCGCGTATTGATAGTTTCAGTGAGATGTTGGCATGGTTACTGGTTAGCCCAAACGGAAGCGTTTACGCAATGATTTCATCGATCACAATTATCTGATTTTAAATGTTTACTAAACAAAGAATAAGAGGAAATCTGTTTCGATCAGCAGTAATTTAAACAATTCTCTAGGAGATACGGGGTGTGCGGGAGTGCGAGACGCGCAGGATAACAACGGGCCACCCGCATTCCTATTCACGCGATGTGGACTATGAGATCCGTGACATGGGACACAACAAGCCTCATACCTCAATTTTATTCTGCCTTCACAGGACACAGGACGATGGCGACGGAGGTCTGTAGTATCACGTGCAAGCAGACGTGTCTTGGCCGAATCTCTGTGATCTGATCGGTAAAAATCATTCTCACTAAATGACAGCGGTAGTGGCAGAATCACGATCAAAGAAGTGACAAAAATGCGGTGAGTAAAAGGTAGCTCCAAGGTGGTTGTCTTTCGAAGCAGTAAGAATAGACCTGGCCGTTCCTGATAGGTTGGAGGAACGAATTCTTCTAAGATCTGACAAAGAGCAATTTACTTTGAAAAGCGTTTTAACCATTTGACGGAAATGAGGGTGGCGTATTTCCGTAGCTGCGTCTTTAAAACACTGGCTTTTTAAAACACAGGACGACGGTGACGGAGGTCTATCGTAAAAGCTGCAAGCAGACCTATCCTGGCCGGAAGCCGGATATCTGATCGGTGACATTCACATTCAGTAAATGAGAGCAGTGGTGGCAGAATCAAAAGCAAAGAAAAGACAGAGATGCGATGAGAAAGAGTCAAGTATTGGGGAATCGAATATCGCATAAGATTCATCGTGAAAGATGCGCGCGTGTTGTACATCGTAGATAAGACCTACGATACAATGATGTGTAGTGTCGATTGCTCGTATCCAATTTGTCACAACTCTTGTAATTATAAAGTGATGTATTTGGATGAAAGACGACAAATAGCATCGACATGCTCATTTAGAAATGTGCTCAAATCCTCTGCTCGGTGCTGCAGCAAGCAGCAATCTGTTGCTTTCTCAACTTTAGAAGGCATGGTACATTCAGGTGGTACAAAAGGTACTGTGCGTTCTCTGCAAATCAATCCGAATGGGTCGACGGCCGCATGAGATCTACAATTTTGGAACCACTACGCAGTTTGCCCCTAACTTGAAAGATGCGCCTGCACTTCTTACTTTTCCTACTATCATTGTCGACAGGAGTCTTTCCGTCGGTCCCATCGATCACGGACCCGGTTCGGGCCAGTGCCGGTTTTCTTTTGGTCGTGAATCACGCTACAGGAGAGATAGAGGGTCGTCAACGTCATCTACGGGAGGAGCCTGAGACACAGGCTAGAGGCCTCAATGGGATCGCTTATAAGATCCCTGGGATGGTCAATCGAATGCGCCGGGGGCCAAACTTCTTTGATTTGGAGAGTCTGCATATAAAAAAGGTGAAACCCGATGAACTTTATATCTGGCTCATCACGAACAGGTTCAACCGCAAGCTAGCCAGGGTGTACCGGTACTACGCAAAGATCAAGAAAGAGGTGAATGCTGATGTCGACAAGAGAATTGATTGGTGGGGGTTAAAAAGGTTAGCCTCTTCGTAGCCCATGTACTTATGACTTGTAGCTCCACATCCCCATTTTATTTACAGTTCAGCTGTAACGGGGCACCCTGAAGCTTGTACTGGTGACAGTACAAGCTACTTATTCTGATAACAGAATAAGGCGGTGCCTCGTAACTTCACGTACACTCGTACGTGCAGAGGAAGACGGTAAGAAGAAGCGAGTACTCGGTTAGAGTAAAAAGTAGAACTGTATTTATAATAGTTAATGTCTGCAATAAATCACTATTTATCTTCATCTAACTATGTCTAAATACAAATGTGTAAATCAGTTATCTGCTCACCACTCATTGCGTGCGTCTGTCGTGGCGCGTCTTCGTTGGTTGATATAATGGCCTATATCAACCAATTAGGAACTACTTGGAAGTGCTACAGAATATTGTCCTTATGACAATATTCTGAGAATATAACTCTTATAGTTATATTCTATTAACAATTTCTTATAAATTGTTATGTAACGATTCACCCCGTTACATCACCCCCCTTAACCATCAGTCACTTTAGTGACTGATTGACTAAATGGATACTCGTCCCAAATCATTTGGGACGGGGTTTGCACTTGTTGGTCCGCGTCCACTTTCCAACATCTCATCGCATGGTAAACAAGCCCATGCGATGCGCGAGCAAGGCCGCCGAGAGTGCGTCTGCACGTCTCTGTGCGGACGCCGAAGCAGAAACTACAGCAACTGATATCCCATCGGTTGCTGAATCGACTCAGCCTGTATCACCTGGTGATGCAGGCGCTGGTCATGAAGACACTCGTGTCTTCACAGAGTACGAGCTCGGTGTCTCGTACTCTCCTGATACGGATGACGGATCCGTATCGACGGCAATTGAATCCAAGCCGCCTGCCAAGCGTGGCATGGACGATGCTTTGCGTCGCAGCATCTTTGGTTCATCTGATGAGTCAGATGAACCATCGCCGAAGCGAAGGCGCTCGAGGTCGCGAGACTCGGGCGCTAATAGTGGTGTCGTTTCTCCAATGGACACCACTTCACAGCGAGGTGCCAGTACTTCTGTCGGCACGTCGCAGGAAGAGCGGGACCGCAATGTGTTGCGTCTCGTTCCAGAAAAGAAGGCATGGATGCCTCCTAAATCCGTCATGGATCACTTGTCGGCGACGACGAGTGATCGTTATCGAACACGATTGTTCGATTCGTCAAGGATTCATCACCTTGACCCCAGCGCGAAAGACTATCGCGCTGAACATGAGTTCTTCATCGATGCTTTCTTCAGACATCGATGGTACAGTGGGAATCACAAACGTGATGGTCCCTCACTACTTCAGGCGTGGAACGCCTACATCCATAATCTCGAGGATGTAGGTCGTGACGCTTGGAACGACAAACTTATCAAAGCTCGTGATAAGTTTGAAAAGCGAACCCCGACAGGTGCACGCTATAAGCTGCATCGTCTGTCAAGGGAGAAAGGATTACCCTGCCTCTCTTGGGGAGACTCGTGCCCATGTTGTGTGAACAACTCTGCACGAGCACCTAAGGAGGCTTACCTCCTTACCAGCCCGTGGTGGCGCGTACGTGTCTCTACTGAGATGTACGAAGGGATTGACAACCTGAAATCCCTTTACGACCGTGCCGGGAAGACTTTCTCCGGCGGTCCTTCTGCGGCACAGGATGTGTCGCGTCGTACTGCTCGACCAGACCCAGTACGTCAACCATCAATGGGAGCGGGGCTCCCAAGAATCCCAGGACGGGGGATAGCCGCGCCACCGGACGAGGTAACTCGTCCGACGTCCGTTCACGTCGCGGTGGTTCAACAGCTGCTCTACTAGATAGCGCTGGCCACCGCGAGAGTCCTCTAATGGAGGTGGAGGAGGAGGAAAGACGCTCTCCACACGATCATGTGGATCGGTGTGTTCCCGAGAGCTTCTTTGATCGCGTAACGCAAGGGTTACGCGACGATCTCGAGCATGAGCGGAATAGGCGTCTCCAGATGGTGGACACTGCCTCGAAGCATCGAGCTGAGTTTGCCTTTGCTCAGCTTGAGAACGAGAGATCTCTGACATCTCTTCGTGACGAGCTAAGGGTAGCTCGTGGGATTGTTGATCGGTCTCGGGCTGAGTTAACTGCTCTTCAGACCCTTGTTGATGCCCACCATCGGGAGCACAAGGCTCTCTGCGAGATGCTTGAGCGCAAGGGCGTTCTTCATCGGAAGAAGCAGCGTACTGATGGTACGGCTTAAGCCGACCAACGTAAAACGTGGGATGCGTTCGCATCTTACGTGGTAACTCGATCGTGTATGCATTGCCTAGGCGGTGCAATACACGAAATGGGCCAATGTACTTGGGTAGTAGTTTACTGCTACCCAAGTTAGTCACTACATGTTTTGGTAGATTAACCGTAGACAGTAGGACTAAGTCACCTTTATTAAATAAAAGAGTGTTTGCCCTTCCATTCTTGTCAGCGTTTTGCTTTTGCTTATCCACCGCTTCGGCGATGGAGTCTTGCACAAAACGGACTACCGTTTCACGAGCCAGTATGAACTCATCTGATGACTCGTTAGCTTCAGTGCGCTGTGAGCGCACTGCAGCGACAACAACCTTTTCTTCAGTGAGGGCTTCCGCACTCTCACTGGGATCATTGTCTTCAGTGAGGGCTTCCGCACTCTCACTGGCATCATCTTCTTCGATATCGATGTTATCGATATCGGCATCAAACGCAATGACTTCTTCGTCAGAGCGTGATGAGCGTGAACCAAATCGGTTTTTGCTCGCGCGAGTCCCTCCCCCCTTAAACCAGAGTTACACTCTAGTAAGGTGGGTACACGCGGATGGCGCAAGCCATTCACGTAAAACGGTGTATGTGTCGTGGACGCATGCACCGAGTTGTTGATGGCAAACTCTACCATCGGCAAAAACTCACTCCAACTCTTAAAGGAGTGTACGTATCCTCGAAGTATCTCTTCAAGGACACGATTGGCACGTTCCGTCTGACCATCTGACTCTGGATGATCAGATGTTGACATCTTCAAGCGCGTTCCGAGTGATTTGAACACGGAACGCCAGAAATCAGCAGTGAATCGTGGATCTCTGTCTGATACGAGTTCACGGGGCAACCCATGAAGTCGGAAGATGGTGTCAATAAAGACACAAGCACAGCCACTTGCCGTGATTGTCTCTGGTACAGCCACAAGGTGTACCATTTTGCTGAATCTGTCAACAAATACGAGAATACCCGTATTCCCGCGTGCGTCTTTGGGTAACCCGAAGACGAAATCCATTGAGATGGATTCCCAGCACTCAGCCGGAACCGGTAGAGGCTGTAAAGGTGCACGCAGTGAAGGACTTGACTTCACTCGTTGGCAGACTTCGCATGCGCGAACATACTTTCGCACAAACTGATACTGGCGGGGCCAGTAAAAGTCTCGACTTACCGTGAGATATGTTTTCTCTCGGCCACGATGTCCTCCTATAGGAGCATCGTGATACTCGAACATGATCCGCAAACGCAGATCAGTATCATCTGGAATGACAACACGTGGTGTGTCACCAGAAACGGCTGTATAGTACAGTAAACCGTTACGAGTAGTGTATCGATCTGATGCAGATCGATACGCAGACGACAATCGTTTCAACGATTCTCGAGATGGTTGGGAGAGATGTGACAACAACTTCACTATCTCACCATCTTGGGCGTATGCCCGCCTCACATCATCATACAACGTTGTAGATGGAACTGAGGACGTCATAACCGCAACAGTGACTGTCTCACTGTTGGGTTTCGCGACTGTTTCAAAGTCGGGCCGACGTGAGAGTGCATCAGCGACGACATTAAGTCGTCCTGGTTTGTACTCGACCGTAAAGTTGTATTCTGCAAAGAATGACAACCACCGCGCCATTCGTTGTGAAAGGTGCGGGCTGTTCACTGCCGTGCGTAATGACGCATGGTCAGTGTAAACAACGAAGGGTCTATCTCCTAATAGATAGACTCTGAACTTCGCGAGTGCATACTTCATGGCAAGGAGTTCCTTGTCATGCACTGGATAGTTCCGCTCAGCTGGTTGCAGCTGACGCGACTGATAGCAGACGACGCGTTCAACGCCTTCAAGGTCGTACTGCATTAATGCACAGCCGATTGCGAAATCGCTGGCATCACAGACCACATGAAATGGCCTGTCCTGATCGGCTATTGCTAGGACTGGGGATTGTATCAAGCTCTGCTTGATACCCTCAAAGGAGCGTTGACATTCAGCGTTCCATAACCACCTCTCGTTCTTTTTCAACAAACGAGAGAGGTGTACAGTCATCTCGGCGTAATTGCGTGAATACTTATGCAAATACGCCGCTAGCCCAAGGAATTTTCGAAGACCTTTGACATCGACCGGCACAGGCCAGTCGGTGATCGCCTTGATCTTTTCGGGATCAGGACGTACACCGTTCTTACCAACGATGCACCCAAGAAGTGGTATTTCGCTTGCTGCAAATATACACTTCTTGAGGTTTGCATACAATTGATGCTTTCGCATGATTGTAAGAACTTGTCGGACGTGGTACCTGTGAACCTCAACGTCCGATTTTCCATCCATAGCTCGACTATGGATGAATACGTCATCGAAATAACTCGGCGCGAATTCTCGTACTGGCCTCAACAGATGTGATACACACCTGTTGAACGTGGCAGGGGCATTACTGAGCCCTTGTGGCATTACTAGCCATTCCCAGAGCATGCCGCTAGGCGTGCTAACTGCGGTATAGGGTATATCCCGTTCCGCATTAGGATTTGATAGAAGCCATCCATCAAATCCATGGACGAAAAGATGGTACTCTTTGACATACCATCAATGATTACGTCCTTCCTCGGTATCGGCGTCTGAGCCGGTACCGTTGCAGCGTTCAATTTGTTAAACGCGTGCACTATCCGCCACCCTCCTGTTGCTTTTCGCACACAGAAGGTCGGAGAGCTATGTGGGGAAGTTGATTCCCTCACATGGCCCGCTGCTAAACGATCGGCAAAGAACTTGTCGATCGCAAGTACTACTGTTCACGAGGCAGTGGCCACTGCTTCATGACACAGTACTTCGAGCCTGGTTTAAGCTCGACTTCGTGTCGAATACCTTTATCCTTCGGTAATTCGCACGGAACAGTTTCAGGGAATACATCCTTGAATTCAACCAAATCCTCATAGAGAGGGTTTTCCTTGAGCGATTCCCATGATTGGGACTCATATCGCTCAATTCGTGTCTTTTCATCTAGGACACTCTCGTCCATAGATGAACTACTGAGAACTCTCTCGTTCTCAGTAAACACTGTTGCTGACCTTATGTCGGTTACACACTCGTCGTCAGCGACGAGTATGCAGATCTGCTTGACTTTGCCACTACGCAGATCACGCAAGAACCTTTTATGTTCGAGCGTTGGCAACTGAGTGATCTCCGAAGTTAACTTCGGAGGCGCAATCAGATCAAGTGTATAAGCGCCTACACATGATCCGTTATTGACTATGACATTCAATGTCTCTGTCATTTCCTGGGGACTTATTCCCTCAGGCTTCGAAGGACTTATTCCTTCGTCTTCCCGGGGACTTATTCCCGCGGGTTTCGGGGAACTTATTTCCGCCGTATTTGTAATCTTGGGACTTATTCCCTTTACTTCCTCTAGCTGGGGTTGCGCAACCACAGCGAGATCCTCTACGAAAGACTCTCCAGTCGATCTAGGATTATCGTTTCGCTTAACCTGAGCGATCGATTGTTTCTCTTCTAGATGTTCCCCTCTAGGGATACATCTTTGTCCCAGTCCACCCGACTTATTCGAGTGGTGGACCTTCGGCGCAGCCTGTGTTTCCTCACAGCCGCCGGAACTTTGCTCCGAAGTGTAACCGTTTGGTACACTAAGGTTTTGTGCAGTCGTACTAACGACCGTACCACAAGTGAGGCCATCGCACTCACTCGTAGTACATCCACACGCTTGTGGACGCTCCAAAACGTTCATCAGATGGCCATCTGATGAACAAGCGGCAGAGCATCGTTACTGTCCGATGTTGCCAGTTTACCCGTGGTTCGTACCTTCTGAGCCACGGTATTCCAAGGATGACATCAAATTTGTCATCCAAATCCAATACGATAAAGTCATCGTCGTATTGGGTATCTTCTAGCGTATAGTGAATCTTCACTATACGCTTCATGACGGTTACGGATGCGCCTGTCGCAAGACGTACCGTCATCCTCGTAGGAGGTGTGTCACATTCACTGAATTTAAAGTGACCATCTTCTAGCGATTGGCGTCGCACAAAATTGTTGGACGCCCCACAATCGACTAGAGCTCGAAGGGACAACTTATTCGTCACTTCGAGTTTCAAGGTAATGAGTGAGATCTCATTACCTAGAGCAGCAACGCACAATGTCTGTGTGTTGGGAGCAACCTTCATCAAGAGGCCTACAAATTCTCTTGACGTTGCTGGATCAGTAGGGTGCTCCGCACCTACTGATCCTGTCCGTTTTTTGACGGTCCATCCCGTTGTTGCGTCTTTGCACCAACTGCGGACCCTCGTCCCTGCCCCTTTCTCATGGGTGGACGGTCACTACGCCCAGTGTCGCGAGACACTGGACGAGGGGCACTACACTCGTAAGCGTAGTGTCCTGTCTTTTGACATCTGTTGCATCTCTGCAACTTCTTGTAGCCTGTAGAGCGAGCCTTCTCGCTCTCTACATAACAGAGTTCCATCGGCTCTGGACCTCCGTTGTCATATCGTCTCGGTTGACGATATGATGTCGAGCTGGCGCGAGCCTGTCTCAGACTGAAGTCTTCCTGCTCCGCAATTGAAATGGCTTGTTCTAGTGAATCTAGTTCAAGCCGGAACAGGTGAGTCTTGACGGGACCATCCGCAAGACCCTGCATGAACACCGAAACCAACGTGTGTTCATCCACCGGATTGGAACTTATACAACTCGTGAGATGTCGTATATGTTGAGCGTAAGCGTGCACATCACGCTTACCCTGCTTGAGCTTCAAGAGTTCGGTTCGAGCTCTGAACTCAGCTCTAGGCGGTTCAAACGTTTGTCTGAGCCGCGACTTGAAGACTTCCAACGACCCAAACGCATATGGGTCGTGCAGCTTGAGCCCCAGTGCCCAAGTCTTGGCACGTCCTGCCAGATTTGACTGGGCAAATGCAACTTGCATATCCCCGTCGTCGATGCGACGCGCCCTTATGGCGTCATCCAATTCGACGAACCATCTCAAGAGGGAG